CTTAAAGGTAATGAACTACCCTTCATGTCAAAACTGTAAATTCAACTGTAATGTCAGAGGGAAGCATCGATAGCAAATGAGAGTTCAGGGTTATAAAGGATTAAGAACCTTTCCCTTATATTCAAAATTCAAAAAATCCTGCAATGTTATCATAAATTTATTAACCCAGCCAGTGCTAAGTCCATTTTTACACAAATTCACACAATAAGCATTAGAGATTTAACTAAATGGCCTCCTTATGCTATTCATAGCTAATCAGGAATAAAAATATTTCTCCACGTGGTCAACTCTGCTCAAGAGAGCAGTGCAAAGCACAATATAACAATGAACATCAATTACCAGTAGCATGAAGAGTTATGTCATCAAATTGCTTCCTTCTTAGGACCATATGTAGGATTGGCACCTAATATTCACCGGGTTCTTGATATGTTCTTGCTATGACTAAAGGCACACATGCGTACACTGGGTGCTGGCAGATTACTAGGTGTTTCTTTGTTATCAAATACATCTATGTTATAATATAAATACTATATGTACTCAGTGTTCGCGCTAGCCATTTAAATTTCTGAGTCCCAGGGACGCAACACATTTGGAAAATGTGAGTCCCGTCTAATATTTTTTGCGTCCCTCATATTTTGTTATTAATATTAAAGTGAAAGTAAAGTGGGCGATAATAGAGTGCTTCCGCTAAAACCGGATAAAATGACATGTATTGTAATTATATGCATTCTCCCGATAAATATCTATCATTTGGTCCTTTTCACACAATTCTTTACTAATGCTATACCAAAATTCTTCGAAATGAATGAAAGAAATATTCAAATTAAGAGTTGTTTTCACATTTTACCAACCAGCGATCTTCAAGGTCGTGTCAAGGTCGTGAACTTTTTGTTTCTTTTTATAACATTTCTCCTTTCTCTGACGACTTTTAGATGAAAAACGTTGATCTATCATTAAATAATTATATTGATGTATAACATTAGATCGATATCTAACGGTTCCTAGTGGAAGTAATTAAGGTTATCGTGAAAAACAAGTCTCAAATCTCAATTTTGAAACTAATGTTTGCGTACAACAGATTATCCAGCTTCGGTATACTCCGGAATGACTCGGAGGGCACCATAGCCAATCAAATGCTGCGTTTCAGACTAGAAACCCCGCGAATATACTGAGACACTTCGTAGCCAATCAGATTTGCAGACATAAACATTATCGAGATCAAGGAAGTAGACGATCTGAAAATTCTTCAGAAAATCATGTTTTATCACTTCTACGCTGCAGTAAAAGTTACCTGATGGTGGTGTAGAATCTTTGCGTCCCAAGGACGTAAGTTATTTCTGATTTTTCCGTCCAACCTCTTGAAATTTCCGTAAAAACGAGAAAAAACGGCGTCAACGCGAACACTGTGTACATTCAGTTAGTATCCATTTATTCTCCAAGATAGAGTATACAGGAGAGCTTGACGCGTGACCTCATTTGAGGCTAGAAATAAAATATAGCAATAACCCTGGTTCTAACCAAACACAGGGCTTTACAATCCCAGTCCCAATGATATCATCATCATGGGCGTAGGGCTATATTTTGAGTTGGTACGCACACTTGGGATGCCTGATTGCGTGGTCAAAGGCCGCCCATCACAGGGGGTTGGGGTGTTTGCTCACCCGGGAAATTCTTTTTTCAAGGACATTATTTGATGGAATCTAAGCGTTTTTATCAACTTTTAAATGTTGACAATGGTAAAAATACAAATACGGTAGGAAGCATCAATAAATTCGCAAATAAATTAATGTATTTTAACACATTTTTAATTTTTTTCAAATTCATTTGGTACGCCTGTGTGTATTTTGCGTAATAGGCGCCAGGGGCGGATCTGGGAATCAACAAGGGGGGGGCCCAAATTTCAAGTCAGAGAAAAAAACGTCCGCGCTTGCGCGGAAAAAAATTTTGGGCCCCTAGAACCCAAAAGTGGGCCCAAATTTTGAAATTTTGAGGCCCATTTTCTTCAAAATTTGGCCTGAAATTAAAAAATAAGGCCTTAAAAGGCCCAGTAATGACCAAAAAGGCCCCCTTTTTGGGGCCTGAAGGCCTTTTTTGGCCCACAATTTTTTTTGGGCCCAAATTTTTTTTTCTGGGCCCACCCAAGGGGGGGGGGCCCGGGCCCCCAGGCCCCCCCCCCTAATCCGCCAGTGGGCGCTACGCCCATTTGAGGATCCATGTTGAGTTCAACATACCACTTAGTGAGTATACTAATGCCCCGTACCACAGCCATAATATGCCCAACCGCAATGACTGATCTCCCACATGAGTAGTTATGATGATATATATTATTGACCCCTATTGACCCCTATTGACCCTGGCAATTACAGAGGTATTTTTATTTCTGATTGCTTTGGCAAATTATTTTCAATAATTTTGTATAATAGACTTTACGCCTTTGTACATGACCGAAAAATAATATCGGAAAATCAAGCCGGTTTCACAAAGAAAGCACGAACAACTGACCACATGTTCATAATACGAACCCTCGTGGATAAATATGTACTAAGTGAAAAAGGGAATATATATATGTGTTTCGTTGATTTGAGGAAAGCTTTCGATACGGTATGGCATGATGGATTATTTTTGAAACTTTTGCAATCGGGGGTAAACGGTTTATTCTATAAAATGATAAAACATATATATTCACAATCAAAAGCAAGAGTCAGACTAGATAATGAGGGTTTATTTACCAATGAATTTGACTGTAACAAGGGAATAAAACAGGGGGACCCCCTAAGTCCTCTTCTATTTAATATATATATAAATGACATTATTAAAACATTAGATCTCAAAACAGACCCTTTATTAAATAATACGCGAATTGGAAGCCTCCTTTTTGCCGATGACTTAGTAATTATCGCATCCTCAAAAGATGAAATGCAAACCAAATTGGACAAATTAGAAAAATACTGTGAAGAATGGCACTTAAATATCAACACTGATAAAACCAAAATTATGGTAATGAATAAAAATGGTAGACTTATTGATAATCACTTCTTTATAGGAAATTACAAAATAGAATCTGTTTCACGATACATTTACCTGGGAATGGAATTAAGCATAAGTGGGTCAATGAGACCTGCAACCCAGCATGTCAAAGACAAAGCTGAAAAGGCAAAATTTAAATTATTAAGTCTAATTTCTAATGGTAATATGAAACCATCATTATGCTTAAAACTATTTGATCAACTCATAAAGCCCATATGCCTCTATGGATCTGATATATGGGGTACGGGTATCTTAAACTCGAGAAAAATTAAAAAAGACCCACAGTGGGCATTAGAAAAGGGATATGATGGAATAACATTTGAATCTCTTCATATATCATTTATGAAATCGATACTCGGTGTTAACAGAAAGGCCAGTAATGACGCTACACGAGGCGATTTAGGTAGGTTTCCACTATTTATTTCTTTGTTTTATCAACAAATGAAATATCTTAATCATATTAACAATAAAGGAACCGACTCACTTCTACGTGAAGCCCTTGAGGTAAATAAACAACTGACAGATATGAATAAACAATCATGGCTCACGCACATCAATGATGTACTTAAATATATTTACAATGGTACTTCACCAAACTATTTAAACTTAAAACCAAGAGAAATTAAGAAATTACTGGAAAATAGATACATACAATTTTGGGAAACTAAAATAAAATCAAATAATGGTAAATTGAGGTTTTATAAGATAATAAAAGCAAAATGGAACAAGGAACCCTACTTGGATTTAATCAAAAATGAATTAGACAGAAATAACTTGACAAAGCTAAGAATTAGCGCACATAAATTAGAAATCGAAACAGGTCGTTACACAAAACCAATTACCCCTATTGAAGAAAGAAAATGTTTAATGTGTAACAAGAAAACTGGTTCAGAATGCCATTTCCTATTAGAATGCAATACGCTAAAAGATGTTCGGTCGAGTTATATGGATAAAATAAAAAAACACTGTCAAAATTTAGAAAACATGAATAACGTGGAACATAAATTAATGTTTCTATTTAATTCAGAGGGAATAATATTAAATATACTAGCAAAATATATATCCAATATTTTTATCGAGAGAGAAAAAAACACGAAATGCATCCAATAAAATCTTGCAATGATCAAGCACCCTTTGATTAGTTAATATACTATATAGATAATTAGTTAAGCTTTTTCATTTTCTTCTGTTTAAGCTGTACACTTTGCCCAAATGTGGGATACAAGTATAATAAAGCTCATATAATAATATATTGATTCGAGGCTATAGAGGGCTCCCCAAGAGGGGGTAGTGGGGTCGCTTTTGTCACTTTTAAGATTTCAAAATTCTCACTTTGTCACATTTAAAATCTACTTGGTCATATTTTGTCAGATTCGTTCCTTTAGTCAGTCAAAGTATTTAATGCACTAAATAGTCTGTTATGTTCCATTGTTTGATTGCTGGTTAGAATAAGTCATCTCAACTAGCATCAATTTACATTCAGAACGAATTATCTATTTTTGTCAATCTCAAAACACTTGTCACTCCGATAAATGTGCAAAATTGTCACTTGCAAATATTGATTTGTCACATTTGTTCGTCTTTAAGTACCCCAAAGTCCCATTTTTAGAGGCCAGGTCGCCTTATCACATACCCCTTGGGGAGCCCCCTATAGACTGACTCAAACCCATCTATCAATCATCTCTATCGGTTACTGTAGAAAATAGTTCCTAAAATGTGACAGACTACATACAAAACATGAAATGGATTAGAAACCTGAGGTATCTTGTCTCGACCTTATTTTGCTGTTAGTTGCTTTGAAATTTCCACAGCCTACGAAAGAACAATGGTACAGTTATAAAATGGTGGGGGGTAAAAAGTCGAGGGATGCACCTCTGTAAAAACTCAAACTCCTCTTACAGCAAATATTGTCCCGAAGCGATTGGTTGGAAGTCCAAGTCTTCAATGAACTTCACATCCGTGACTAGACTTACCTTGATTGTGAGCGTGAATGAAGTGTCATCTAGGAGTGAAATCTTGCAGACGCACTCCTTCGGATTATCTCCAAGACAAGGCATGTCTTTATCTTTATTTCTGCTGCTTTGTTTTCTTAACACATCGGGGAAAAACTTGTAAATATTTGAAGACTGCATTTTTCTTTTTTTATTTTGCCCGCGGATTTCCTTCGCAAGTCACTGTCTGTATTGGCGGCTCTCGCCGATATAATCCAAATATAAACAGCCATATCGAATATTTTATGATCACTTGCCAATATTAATTGTAGTTTGATATCCGTCCAAGTGTATAAAATACCGAAATATTCAAAAATAACCACCTGTGATTTTTTGTAATAAATTTTTCTTGGCTGTGACTAAATATCAAACCACAGGTAAGTTTGATGAAACGAAATAATTATAATATGCGACTATGAGTGACATCTTTTAAAAGCTCTTGAAGTTTAATGAAGAAACCTCTGTGCTTTACTCACTCCGAGAGCCATGTTAGCTCAGAATCAGTCACAGCCTTTGACATAGGTAATTTATGCATGGTTGTTCATGAACAACAACGCCACACCCCCCCCCCTCACTGGCAAATCCATGCCCCCCGCCCCATGGCCCCAGAAATAAGTTGGCCCGAACATTTTGTAGTGGGCATTTGCTTGCCCGATTACTTGGCCGAATTATCAAAAAAGGCCTAATTTCTCCCAAGCGCGCATTTCTTTCTGATTTGAAATGTGTCCCCCCGACCATTCTCATACCAGAAAGTGGAAAAATCTGACCATTGCCATACCTCATGTCAACAATTTGAGGGCCATTTTCATACCAGATCCTAAAATCTGGGTCCATTGCCATGCCAGATGTCAAAAAAGTACCACATGTGCGTCGAGGATCTGCGTCAAGGTTTATATACAGTGAACCCCGCTCCCTCGCCCCCCCCCCCCTGTTACCTCCATGATTCGCCAGTGCTCCTCTGTGGTATATATGAGTCTAAAATACTTAGAAAGGGATACAAGGTAAAGTGGAGGTGCAAATGGAGGACGTTTATTAACGTAATTTTATTTCTGAAGTATTCCAAGTGTTCTTCTATACAATATATACAACAAACGTGGTCACGTGGCCCGGGGCTTCACTGTATATAAACCTTGACGGGGATCCTCGGCGCACATGGGGTACCTTTTTGACATTTCTATGGCAATGGACACACATTTTAGAATCTGCTATGAGAATACCCTCCCCCCCCCCCCAAAGGGTCACGTGGTAGAATAATATAGTAGCAAAAACAATAGACAGTGTCGAATGGGTTTGAAAAAAATTACGATCAATAATTAAATTGAATTAAGGCAAATTAAATTGTTCTTACCAGTCACGAGATTTTATCGACGTAGATGTGTTAAATTCAGATTTCTTATAAAAACTATCAGTTCATCAGTTGCAATAGTCCCTTAGGAAGAATTAATTAAGTCATAATTAGAATCCTTGCTATCTGGATCGATAATGAAAATGGAATGAAATGGGAAATACCAAAGCTCTTCGACCTGCGACCTTAACCTTCGACCTACGACTTACTGGGTGTTCAGGTTTTGTTTTGGAATGTATTTGAAAAAACTTCTACCTTATCTTATAGAGAACTTTAACATGTTTTAGAGCAGAAAAATCAGATTCTAATGTCTTAGATTATTTATTTTATTTCAATTGGCGTAAACTCACAGATTAATTTATATATACATCATCAAGATAATCCATTGAGCGTTGTGTGCCCTGGACATGGAAGGAAATCGTATTATATAATGTTTTATTAAGTGTCTATTTTTTCAGGCCGAGATTCTTGACGATTTTCTTGAAAAAATCTTTCGCTCTTTGTCTCAGCGGTATCTTCTTTGATATGGACTTCTCTACATTCACTTCTTGAACGACGTACTTTATTATGATTGGACAGTCTGGTTTATATAATCCACCTGAAAACAAAAACGTAGGTTTTAACAAATCATGCATAATGCTGTGCAATTCTGCGCAATCGTCATAGTACGTTGTCATGCACAGTCCATTTGTTTTCTTTGTTAGGAACACAATATTTATTGGCCTATTTCTCAAACATTTGATTTTCTTGATGAAGATATAATTATACCATTAGCTGAGACTAACAAAATTTTATGATGGTCTCAGCTATTAGCTACCGGTCTCTATTTTAATGAAGTTATTAAATCAATCCATTTTGAAAATGATTGCTAATTAGCTAATATGCACATTTTAATGTTGACAACTGGTTCTCTCCATTTAATAGTCATTTGTCTGTAATGTTAACCTTGCATTGACCATGCATGAACTAAGACAGGTCGGACATTATGACAATTTGAAATTAATGCAAATGTTACTATCTATAAACTAATCTCGGTGTGAACACGGGATCAACGAGGGGTTAATGTCAAACTTATTGAGATACTTACGGGCTTCAAACTCCATGACGATTCTGTCTCTTTCTTCCATTAATATCCTAAGATCTTCATCAATGGTCGTCAACTAAAAAACAAATTGTTTTTTATGTAAATAGAAACACGCAACTCGATTCGATACAATTGCATAGGTATCATCAAGTACAATACGTATTTGCCACTATATATTAATGATTGATGTACTTTTCCAATTTGTAGGACACATCTTTTAAGAACTTGTTAATCAAGAATTTATTATAAGGAATGTATGTATTCGTAAGTGGGAATAAAATCAAAGTATCCCCACACTAATGATAACTTACACAATGTCTCAAGCAGGCCTCTGACGATTCAACTGCAGGAGATGGTATAAATATGTCACTGGGTTGCGGGGGTGGTGGTCGCTTAATCAAGGAGTCATTTACCTCTTTGTTAACTGGGATTTTACATTCTACAATTTGCAAAAATAATGCATATTTGAAATCAGTTTTAATGATAAAACAATATTGTATACTATTCACATGACAACATCGTATTTATGACGTCACCAACCATTTTGTCTCTCGATAATGACGTCATCCAAATGGTTTCACCGACAGATTTATTTTTCATCAAATTATTTTTCACAAAACTCACAAAATATGTTTCGCATTGATTGTTTCCTCATGTTCGTAAGATAGTGATAATCTTTTCATAGAAATGCATAGAGAATATCTCACCATCCATGATCTCAATTTGCTTCAGATTTATTTCGCTGTTTTATAACTCCGATGTTGCTTTGATGAGCACGTCAACAAAAATGAACATCAACAAACCACCTTAACAACTATCACTGTGACGTCATTGATTTCGTAACATATTCATTGTTTCGATTTGATTATTTTAGTTTCTATGACAACACATATCTGGGTTACCTGGCGGACCTTTGGATCAGGGGTTTTCCATCTCTGTAGCCTCCATGTGTTAAAATCTATGCTTGTTACGTCCATCTGAGCATCGAGCCACTCTTAGAAAACCTCCCTCATCCTCACACCGGAATAGCCTGACTGGATAGATACCTTTGTCACAAATGGCGGACATAACCGTCGCGAAAAACCTAAAGACCAAGTTACGAATTCATGGATGTTTATGAACATGCAGGGTATCTTGCGCCATTTTGAGAGGGGCCCCTTGAGATGGAGGTACTCCAAGAATAATGTTTGACCATCGGTTTATACATCAGCCTCATCCAGCGGTCGCTTACTGCTATATTGATCTTACGATAAGTCGCGACCATGTCAGATCATGCCCAATGAAGCATTTGATGCTCAATTAGGGGGATGCATTAGCGTAGAAACAATGTTCGCCAAAATGCCAATATGCGTAGTGTTGAAAAGCTAGAATAGAAAGGCTTATTAATTTCCCTCTGTTCTTAAGTCATATTTCCTCATTGTTAATAAATTGTTTGTGATCGAGATTCCAGAGCGCAATAAAAAAATGTTTTTGGACACAATGTAATACAGGGTGTTCAAAAAAACGCAACCCAAAGAAATCGCTATATCTTGAAAAATACTGGTTCAATTGTGTTTATATTTTCAGGAAAGAAAGAAGAGACTGTGTATGTATAGCTCTTGTAAATGGTTAGTTGTAAAACATGATACCTTGGACACCTGCTCAAAAGACAGTTGTACTAGGAAAATACGAAAAACGCAGTCAGGGGTGACTGCAACCTCAAAAAATTAAATAACTTTCTAACCATAGTGTTTTGGCTCTTCAAAGGCACAAATCATCTTCATTCACTGTATGGTTAATCTGCAGAGTCCAATCAAAATCACTTCAGGAACTTTACAGTTATGGTTGAAATGCTTTCAAATCGCAGTCAAACGCCCTGGTTCAGGGAGACTTAAGAAGGCATTTTGACCATGACTGTAAAGTCCCTGGAGTGATTTTGATGAAACTCCACAAGTTCACCACACATTGAATGAGGGTAATTTGTGCCAAATCTGGAGTGCCAAAACACCATGGTTAGAAAGTTATTTGGTTTTATTGCTGTGGGAGTCACCTTTGACTCCGTTTTCATGTTTTCCTAGAACAACTGTCATTTGAGCAGGTGTCCAAGGCATCATGTTTTACAACTTACTGACAACAGGAGCTATACATACGCAGTCTCTTCTTTCTTTTCCTGAAAAAATGAACATTATTGAATTAGTATTTTTCAAGATATAGTGATTTTCCATTCACGTTTTTCGTATTTAGCTAGTACAACTGTCTTTTGAGCAAATGTCCAAGACATCATGTTTTACAACTAATTAACAACAGGAGCTTTACATACACAGTCTCTTCTTTCTTTCCTGAAAATATGAACATAATTGGATGAGTATTTTCCAAGATATAGCGATTTCCTTGGGTTGCATTTTTTTTAACACCCTGTATGTTCGATTTTTTTCAATTGCACTTTTTGCAAATTTGTGCCTCTGTAATTTTTCTAGCGTCGGTCATTGAGATATATGGCACTTTTTGGTGTAAGAATCATGGTGATTTGGGGTAGAGGGGCAAAGTTACACCAGTCGGAAGACGGAAGTTTATGCCAATAAAAATGAAATTCGTAAAATATTGATAGTCACATTGTTTCTAATACTGTAGAAAATGATAATCATTATTACCCTGTTGGGTAGATAGTACTCATTTAACAGATTGAATTCTCTTTCCAACATGCTTTATTTCATGAAAATTGATTTTAGTTGTGCATGTTCCGTAATGCTTATGCAAACTGTGGTATCAGAATTATAATGATAAACTTCTCCCAATTTTTGACATAGTTTTTTTCCCTTACCCCCGATTTTTCAATTTCACTAATTCAATTTATATTCCGTTGCTATGTGGTTGCTAGCGAAATCATGGACCGAAATTATATTGAAATGATAATAACTAAGTCAGCATTTATCTATTATCTTACTAAATCACTAATTGTTATTGTTATTTGTAGTACTTCTTGAAATATGAATGTTAAAGGCAAAAACAAATTGAACTTGAGTTTGTTTAATATTCAGTTACGCGTTTCATTGATTTCAATGAGTTTTCGTGATGCCTGCTATCTTTGAAAGTACATAACTTCAGCTCTGGGAAAGCAATTACCCTAATTTTTATTCCATTTGAAAGATAATAGATTATTTTATTAGTTTAGGAAATAAAGCATTTAGGCACCAATTATTATTTTGAAAAGAAATTAACAATTTATCACAAAATGTCAAGATGACCTTTGTTGAGGGGGTTTATTTGGTCTTGCAAATTAGCTGAGTGTTATAAAAAGGTTGCAGACATTAGAGTTAGATGTATTATTGATCACGGACATGTTTCTATTAGTCATACTAGTTTCTTTAATCTGTATTGTCGAGATTTAAAAGCTCGGCTTTCCATGGTGATTTTATATGAAGAAAAACATTCGAACATTTCAACCACATTAGAAAAGTACAACCATAAAAATTACGTTTTAAGAGCATAAAATAGGCGACACAATTTTTTCATATTTTTGCCGTAGTGTTGAATTTACACCTTCCTACGCCCCTGGGATATTTCCAAAAAATAAGCGTTGGTACATTCGAATTCGATAACAAATTTTATAAACAAGTCTCATTTGCCATTGGAATCGACCTCAGAATGATTGCTGCTGTTTTCCGATTATTCTATACACGTTTGGATGGACTGCTTAAATAAATTACCGTAGTTTACTTTAGAAATGATGATGTTGAGCCGAAATAACGCCATTTCCACGATTCAAATTGTACTTTACGTAAGCGCGGTTCTGGAAAAAGGTATGCTCATTATTGTTCATGTGATCATATCCTGCAATTTGATTGGACATCATACTGATGGGCGTGATTTTAATACATGAATACCAAGCAAAATACCAAGGAATTAAGGGAGCTATTCACTTCTGATGCGCAATATAACTGTGTAACAACAAAGAAATTCCATCTTTGGATAAAGGCAATATATGCTAGCCTTCGGCACTAAGATGCTTTTTTAGACTCACTTATTGTCAATTCATAAGACAGAACAAGATAGATAACGTTGGCAGACAAGGAGCCGTAGTATTACGTCTTTGACCGTTGTCATAGTTACCTTATCTATACACAAAAATATATAACAATAACATGTGTGTATGATTGTCTACTAGATAGTATATGGCTGCGCACATTTACACATTCTAAGACCTGATAACAATCTAATGATCTATTATGCGCTATCATATTTGGTTCTACAACTTGCGCAATACAGATGAAACTCACAATAGACCAAAGCTATGAAATAGATATACTATATACTACATGGATATGATCATTGGTATCTACTGTATACAAGGCTTCGTAAGTATATCTTACATTCGATTCCTCAAATTAAAAATAACTACATCGATGGCGTTTTAAGATAACCGATGTATTCATGATAAAAACCCGAGGCTTACTTCCTGCGAAAGCTATTTGGATTTTGATATAATAGCTTTCCCACGGAGCATTTGGACAGCTGAATGATTGTGACCTTTGAAATCGAATTAAGTCGATCCGCGGCTTACTTTTGGTCTCTAACTGTGTCTTACATCAGTATCATCAATCCGTGTAAGTATTGGAGCGCTGGAGTACTTCTTTTTCGATCAAGACTTGTAATTGTTAGTCGAGTCAATCGATTTACTGCCAAATTCCAATATGGCGGTTTCTGCTCGGACATTTTCGTAAATCTCCGGAGGTTGTCCGAACCTAACTAATTCTCAAAATTCATTTCGTTCATTGCGTATCTCGCACCTAGCAAACCGCCATATTGGAAATAGGTCTAAAAAACTTTCACTCGATGAACAATTTACAAGTCCTGATCGAAAAAGAAGTACTCCAGCGCTCCAATACTTACACGGATTTATGATACTGATGTAAGACACAGTAAGAGACCAAAAGTGAGCCGCGGATCGACTTAATTCGATTTCAAAGGTCACTATTGATCAGCTGTTCACTTCTCCGTTTGAGAGCCATAAGTTTCAAAATCTAACATGGCTCTCGAAGTGAGTAACCCGAGGCCCATGTAAAAACTGTAGTAACACACCGAAATAGCCTGACAACACGTAAAGTCAGATACCGTTGTCACAAATGGCGGACATAACCGTCGCTTCAATTAGATTTTCATGAACTGTATGTTTAATAGAGCACCTAGACTAAATTCCTTTGGAACAACAATCAATCAAAGTGTCTTTATACTCATTGTACAGTTAATAATGTTCTACCATCGAAACAAAGTCTTTAATTTAACCGATCAAAATGAGATAAGGGACAACGGACACTGTATTACCATACCCCGCTGTCTTTGTAAATTATTTCAAATTCAGATTCCGTTGTCATTGACGATATCGAAGACGCTGTATTGTGGCGATTCACAACAAAACTTGAATAATTTCATAACTCTGCTTGAATATTAAATATATTTTCTTGCTTGAATATTTCATCTACGAAGGTCTAATGATGTTGATCATTTAGATACATTGCAGTGGTGTAGGAAAAATGTACGCCAAAACGCCAATGCGTAGTGTTGAAAAGCTAGAATAAAAAAGCTTATTAATTTCCCTATGTTTTTAGTCATATCCCTTCATTGTTAAAAAACTGTTTGTGATCTCGAGCACACTAAAGAAAAGTTTTTGGACACCATGTAATATGTTCGACTTTTTCGATAGTACATTTTCCAAGTTTTTTGTGCCTCTGTTATTTTTCTAGCGTAGGTCACAGTCATAGCACTTTTTCGTAAAAATCAAGTTGGGGTAGAGGGGCAAAGTTATGATAGTCGGAAGTTTAAACCAATAAAAATGAAATTCGTTAAATATTGATAGTCACATTGTTTCTAATACTGTCGAGATTTAAAAGATCGGCTTTCCATGGTGATTTTATATGATGAAAAACATTCGAACATTTTAAGCACATTAGAAAGGTATTACTATAAAAACTACGTTTCGTGAGGATAAAATAGGCGTTTTTGTATTAAATATTTGACACAATTTTTTTCATATTTTTGGCGTAGTGTTGAATTTACACCTTCCTAGTATATACGCCTCTGCTATTGAACTACTGTATAAATGAGAACCGGAATCTTCATACAGGGTGTCAAAAAACAAGACTGAAGTAAAGTTGATTCACTAGATCAATCTTAGATATTCAAAATTAATTAGTTCATTCAATGTTTATTTTGATGAAAAAGTTTGATGATAATCTGCTTTTTGAGTCAAAAATTACAATACCTTCCAAAACATGCTCCAAGTGGGCACCTGAATGCGGTCCAGTTTTGAACATTCTGTACTTGTAAATAAAGAAACACTATCATTCAATAAATGGACAGGTCAATTATATCAATTTCAAAGTTCATAACTAAAGAAATGTTTTGTATTTCCAGATTCTCACACAATCCATCAGCCATGGATATGCTACCTGGCGTCCAAGAGAGTATCCAAACGATAAATGAAAGATCCGATTTTTTCACGGTCTTTGGATTTCTGATCACCATTCTTTTCATTCCAAGAGTTTTTATTACATTTGTCGCTCAGGCAGAATTTTTCAATAAAGACTATCTTGCATGTTCACCAAACAACACTGTGGACTCTGAAAACGAAAGTCTGAGGCGACGTTGTTACGCTGTATTTGCTACATTATGGCCTCCCCATTACCATTGGTTCATGCAATTAGGGCTGACAATCGGCGTTTTGATTTGCTTCCATTTTCCATCCTTGTGGTCCATTAAACACAAGAAGAATATCTCTAAGAACGTCGAGCGGGGATACCTTGTACAGACAGCCATACGGGCAATTATTGAGACTTGCTTTATCTTTTCTCAAGGCTTCCTATACGGATTCGATGTCGCTACCAAATTCATTTGTTTGGAAGACAATGAGCATATACCATGTGACGTTCTGAGAGTGAATGGAAAGGTTGCCATGTTGGTTACTATGTTCGTCATCTCCATTGTTGTGTTGTGCGTGCACCTTGCGGATGTCATCCATGGAATCAAGAAACTTAAAGAAAATGATGGCCCTCTCCTTCCAGTCACAGGAGTTCCAAGTATTTGTTGTTTATCGTGTTTCGTTTCTACCAATTATAATACTTTGTCTACTTTTACGTGATCTTTTGATTGATGGGGCAGGGTAAAGCATTAAAGTGTTAAGGACTCAATAAGTTATGGATGATTTTAAGCAAGTACACGAGGATCTCGTACAAGACTTTGAAAAATTGATGAGGGTAATCAGTTTCACTTATTCAAAAAATCATCCTTTTGCAAATCATAAAATGCATATTATATTATTCTGTGTTCTGTCCCGGCTGGAATCTGATGTACAGTATCATGCATCCTTTCGCCACCCTTAGTTATGTATGTTTTTATAATCTCAATCTGGAAACCGTTATGCAAATGTCTTTAATATTATTACTACCCAAAACAAGATATTAAGTGGATCTCAAAAAGGTATGTTCATGTATGATAAAACGATAGCACCACTTAAAGTGAATTTGTATTTACCTTACGTGCTCAAGGGCCGATGAAAGACAATGCTCGAAGCGTAATACGAGAGGACGTGAGAGTCGTAAACAAACTTCGACTCTAGTTTTCAATTAAACTCTTGATGAAAAAGATTTTTTAAGATGTGTTAAGAATTTTATATTGTGCTTTTAGTACAATTATTTTCGACAAATTCAAAAGTGGAATGAAAGTGATTACCCTTGCAAAGATATTCATTTATTATGACTAGTTGTGACAATTAAAACTAGTAACGAGGGTTTTCCATCCATTTCTTCTATTTTCTAAGAGCAATTGAATATATCTAGGCAATAATGCAACTGTCCCCTTTTCCCTCGATTTTAAGAGATATTTATGTTTACTCCAGCTCGCCTAAAATTTAACTGCGAAAGACCACCAGATCCTGTAGAAGACATCTTCAGGTGTGAAAATTACACACTTTTGGAAAACAAATTGGAAGAACAAAATGTCGTTGTCTTAACTGGTGAGTAACCTTCTTAAATTACGCCATTGTTCATTGTATCTCCTTCTTAGGACTTTATTCTTCTTTGGAAAATGCCTAGATTTTTTTAATAACTCTTCCTCAATTACCCATATAAGGCCATATCACAGTTTGTGACATTTTCCATATTCTGCGAGCAACAATTTTTAGTTTTACATATATGTGTTCCTAATTTTATTTCCTAATAAAATGATACAAACCGCAATCAGATCCGACTAAATTAGTAAACATTTCAATTTAAATGGAAATATTTGAGAAATGTGATCAAACTAAAAAAGATTGTACTCCAGGATGGATGATAATAAGGGGAACACTGCCAAATTCTAAAACATCCGTTTCCCCATACAGATGATCTGTCTTTTAGAGAAAATTAAGATTTGTGGCCATGTTTTGCTATCATGCCATCATACCCAAGTATGTCCTCTGTCAATGAAAAAGGTTCAAATCAAAACTCCCCACGAAAATAAAAAAACTCACCAGTTGAATATGCCATCTATAGAAAATGTCAAAAATTGTCATTCTGATTTTGACAGATGAAGGGAGGTCAAAAAGGTCAATATCTGGATTAATATTTAGTAAATTTGTACGATCCTGGGATTTTGGGGGAATCCCCAAGATGTATCCAAATTACATTGGAATTCGGATCCGAAAATTAATCCAGCTACTTAGGTGGATTGAGATTTGGATAAAAGTCAGGCCTGTCAACTGTCCCGCAATTTGCGTATTTGTCACGCATTTGCTGAAGAATTTGAAGTCACGACAGTTATTTTTGCGTGACAGAAAATGTCACGCAAATACGCATTTTACCTGGTAATTGTCAAGCAAAAATAGTTCTGTAGAAAAATTTCTAAAAAAGATCGTCTACACAGCAAAAATACGAACGCCGGAAATAAATGTACGCATTTCGTTCGGACTTTTCACGCGAATTACGTATATGTCACGCATTCCGTTCGAAATTTTTCGTCCCTACATCCTTAAGATTGTACGGATTCCCCAATATTCAGATAAATTCCTAGCTTAATTCCACAATGCATCATTACCATGACGGAATTTATCCGGATCGGATTACGGATCGTACGAATTCACGGCCCCTTGTGCAGCTTGTGTAATTACCATAACTGGATTATATATACTTGCTTTTTAAATGCCACCTTTTGCCACATCAGCGGGAGGATGAATTGGTTGCGTCTCCCTGTAGTACACTCAAAAGCTTGATTGGGATTTGGGAGGGTGCATCATAAAACAAATGCTGGATGATCAGGGGCTTGATATAGCCAAAATATAAATCCTCAAAAATATTGGGCTGCCGCCTCGCCCAATATTTTTAATATTCGGCACTCATATAAAGTTTCTAATCTACATAGACTTTTGTCATTCTGTACCTATATTATGTTCAATTTACATCGTATAGGTCCTTCTGGCTCCGGAAAAACTCAGCTGGCTCTACTCTATGCCAAGAAGTTCATCAATGAAAACAATGAAAGCAAATGCTTCTGTTTCAACTCACCATCCCCAGAGGATCTCCTTGTTGACGTTGAAAAGTTAATTGATCAATGTAAACTAAACATTCATACGGACGGTGAAATGCACGAAGAAAAAAATTCTCGTATGGCCAAAAAGGTTTGGAGACTACTTATTCGCATTCGTGATGAAGTTAAAGAAGACAATCAAAAAACGTTGTTTGTTTTTGACAATGCAACTTTCGAAACAGCTTGTATCATCAAGGAGGTTTTCCTCAAGGTTAGCTCTTTTATTGTCATAATCACTACTTCTGAAAATGACAAATTTATTGAAGGTTTTGAAGGTTTAAGAATGGACGTGAAAGGTTACACTAAGAAGGACGTTGATGTCTTAGCACTTTGTCAATATGATCAATTTAAAGATGATATGCAATGCTTGGCTGAGAAGCTTGATTTTTTGCCGCTTGGGATACACGCAGCTTGTCAATACATGATTGAGTCTAACAGTTTAAACGTACGTGATCTTCTAGCACAACTGGATAAGTATGGCGACCCCCTAACCGGCCTGTTTCAAGAGTCATACAAAAAGGCTAATGAGTATTGCAACAACGACAATGCTAAACTCCTGTTCAATATTGTAGTTACCCTAAGCCTTGATCCAATACCCTTTGATCTTCTCGATTGGACAATAAGAGTAACTAGCTATCGGGAAAGAGAAGATCACATACACGAATCAGATATAACACAAAAGAGGGAGCATCTTCTGGGTGAAATAAAAAAGTTCCACCTTGGGACTGTGGAAATAAGGGGATCAGAAAACAAGATGCTACGAATGCATAATATACCAAGATCAGCAATACAGAAAATTTGGACAGAAGATGAAAGAATAAAATATTTCAGAGAAATGCTATTGATCCTTGACGACCAGGTTGATAAGGACACACGCGATAAGAAAGATTTCTTGTTCTTTCTTAAAGTGATTCCACATGTGAAACATGCCCTAAAATCTGATTTTTCTGGAGCCCAAAGCCAGGCGGTTGGCATAAAGATCCTTCAAATAAGTCTCCAAGATAAGCTACATTATATGTATACACAGACAAGGTTGATAAGCTACTTCAGAGAAAGTGAATCTGAAGCTAAAGAGCTATGCTATTCCCTTATCGACTTGAAAGAAGAAGTGAAGGACATTGAGAAAGATTGGAAATATAATGACATTACAAGTCAGAAATTCATAAAGAAGAGAGCTGAGCTGATTAACAGTAAAGTTAAATTGTTAGAAATCCCTAGAGACTTTCTCAAAGAGCTTGTTTGTATAAGACGTCTCAACAGCGATGATGTTGAATGTTTGAAGCGCAAAATGAATAGTGATAATGAAGAAAAGTCAAGTAAAAATAAAAGTGATAACGTTGAACTACTGAGCAGCACAACAATAAAGGAAGGCATGGAGTTGAAACCGCAGAGTACTTTAGCACCCAACGGCTATCTCACTGAGACCAATTATGATGAATTGGTACAAAGAGGCGCAGCAATTAGCCTGGAGATAATGAAGAAAGTGTTCTTACTTGAGTTCATGGCGAATATTCTTTACACGCATGGCCGTATGTATTTCTACAAGAACAAGAACAAAGGAGAAGAAGCAAATATTTACGAACATGACTTGCGCCTCGCTTATGAACTCTCTTGCATAATACAAAAGCAACATGGCATAAATATAGTCATGCTACTATTGGCTGAACGGACTGGTTTCCTGTACATTGATGTAGATAGCAATAATAAGGAAAGAATAAAACATGCAACGGAACGCTACAAGAAGTTGCTGGTTGAAAAGGGCGAATATTATGAAAAAGGATTGTTGAAAATAGTACCACGTGAGGATGCATACCATCAAACAAGATGCCAAAAACAATTATTCAATTGTTACTTAGCTGCGGTTACAGAAGCTGCTACTGCAGAAAAAGCTGCAAAAGAAGCTGAGGAAGAAGCATACATCCATATCGAAAAGCAATGGACAAATAACAATGGATACAAGGAAGCTAAAAAACTACTGAGAAGTCTAGAGAATAACGACAAAGCAGATGCTTACATTAAATTTGGTGACCTCGAAATGACATTGAGTGAGTTTGGCAAAAAACATTTGGATAAAGCTATTGTAGATTACAAGAAAACCTTGAAACTAGAAGAGGCAAAGTCACATAGTTCTCGAAAAGGTGGTCGCATTATTAAAGCCATTTCTGGAATAACAGAAGCTTTATATAAACGAAAAAATGAAGGTGATTGGAAAAGGGCAAAGAAATATGCGAACAGGGCGATTGAAATCTGTACTACAGAACGAATGGAAAAAGATACCAAAGAAAAACTACAGGGAATTCTGGACAGCATGCACTCTCCGTGAACAACGCCTACATTATTGTCCTCCTTTCTCTCATCAACACAGCCAATGAACTACTTACTTTACTTCAGATACCCGATCAGCTTCAGTTTCATGTTTAGAACGGGAGATTTGCAATATCCCGTTGGTGCCAACGGGAATCATTATACTCATCTCTATTGAATACTATGTTGGCAATTTTAATATCGATGCAAAGTATAATGCTTTCTGCAGAAGATTAATGTATGTCATACATGTTTTAGCTCCACATATCTTACGAAACGAGCTTGTTTAAAATATGCATCTAGTCCCTGATCTGGTCCCTCTGAAAAGAGATTTTTTGTCCGGTACTTTCCCACAAAAAATGATTGTACTGTTTGAAAGAACAGACTTCCCTCATAAAATACACCTTTTATATCAGATATAAACAAGGGCAAAAGGCACTAAAATGGGGTTACACAAGGTTGCATTCTGAGGACAACTTTTAAATATGTTTATTTTATATCACATTAGTGTATATTTCGTGTATGGTATCAAATGATTTTTAAAACATTGATATATTTATAGAAATAGGGGCAATGGGTAGTAAAGTGGGGTTACACAAGGTGATACTCTAAAGACAACGTTTACTATATTTCTTTACTTTATACCACATAAGTGCATATTTCGTGAATGGTATCAAATGATTTTCAAAACATCGATATTTTGATAGAAACAGGGGCAAAACGCACTAATGTGGGGTTACACAAGGTGGTATTCTGAAGACAACGTTTACTTTATTTCTTTACTTTATACCACATAAGTGCATATTTCGTGTATGGTATAATTATTATGTATGGTAAGATCAATATTGAAAATGTCAAACATTTCTTTGAAATCCAACAATGCACAGTGATTTTTGAGAGTGAAATTTACAGGGTGTTTCATATGTATGCATCCTTCTCTAAACTCATACATGTAGCATTGTCACCCTATCATGTTATACATCATTTTGTTCCTGATGGAAAGTTACATAAGATTCCAAATTTTCAGAATCAAGGGGTGTCACTGACAAAAGATACAATATATCAAAGATTGTGGGTACAGGTCATTTAGACGGCAATTTCTGGTGATTTTGAGGACAATTTTAAGGACAAATTTAGTTTCTGTATTGCACATTTCCAACTATTGTCACCCTGGTAGAGCTCAGTCCACATGTCTGTGGCAGTTATGCACAAATGTATATAGACAGAATTCATGCAGTGGCTTGTAGGGAGGACAGGGACCATGGTACCACCTTTATCACTAATAATGGGTAGCAAAGTGAACAGATCACCGGACTGGCTTAAAAATCCTTATAAAACTGTTTATAAATGACCCCCCTACCCACATATTTTGATGGATTGTCTTTTTTCTCAGGGACACCTCTTGGTTCTGAAACTTTCCAATCCCATGTAACTTTTCAAAAGGAACAAGATCATATATAACATGATATGGTGGCTATGCTACAAGTATGAATTTAGAGGGGGGTGCATACATATGAAACACCCTGTATACTAAATAGACTAGATGCGAGTAGAGATAATCTTGACTTTATACGGCATTAGAAATTCACAATTCAGTCAAAGTGATATCATATTTGATATTTAATGCTCATAACATCAAAAATAGTAGATACTAGTACTTATAAAATATAGAGCAGATAAAATTTGTTCATCGGGACAGCAAGCTGTCTCTTAGTCAGTTTGCTGAGAGCACCAGCATGTCAAGCTATGCGAATAAATATCTACACCTATTTTTGATGTTATGAGTATTGGATATTAATCTTGCGCGGAAAAAAATTTAGCCCCTAAAACCAAAAATTGGGCCCAAATTTTGAATATTTTAGGCCCATTTTTGGCCTAAATTTTAGCAGAAAAACGCCAACTTTACGAGGTCGTACAACTTTTTCTGGGCTGGGCCCACAAAGGGGGGGGGGGGGGCGGGCTCCATGCCCGCCCCCTGGATCCGCCAGTGCATTCCACTCTCAAAGAATTGTTGTGCATTGTTGGATTACAAAGAAATGTTTGACGTTTTCAATATTCTTTAATCTTATTCATGAAAGGTAGTTATTTTTTTCTAAAATATCAATTGATGTACAGGGTGACCCAAAAAAATGCAACCCTCCATTTCTTCAATATTTTTCTTAAATGGAGGTTAATTGCTCTGAAATTTGACACACAAGGACTTCATTCAATGTGGGATCCTCTGGCAAAGTTTCAATAATATATTGATAGAGTTATGGTCGTTCTAAAATATGCTCCAAATGTCGTCCATTTCCAATGTTAGGTTTTCGGATGAATCACATTCCCTTCTTTCTGAACATGTAAACTCAAGAAATAATGTGTTCTGGGGTCACAATATATATTGTTATTTAAAGGATAATGCATTGTGTATGAAATAACCCTATCGCAATTGCAGAACTCCAACAAGCAATGGCTGCAAAATTTGAGCCATACCCATGGGGAAGAATGCATCCATGTTATGAACAGTTTTCCTTGAACATTGCACGTTTGTTTGAAGCGAAATTGACGACATCTTGAGCATATGTTGAAACAACCATAACTCTATCAATATAAGACAATGATTATTAAAACTTTGCCAGAGGATCCCACATTGAATGAAGTCCTTGTGTGCCAAATCTCAATTTACCTCCTTTTAAGAAAACATAGAAGAAATTGAGAGTTGCATTTTTTGGGTCACCCTGTAATACACAAAATGCATTTATGTGGTATTTTAAAAATCACTTGATACGAAATATGCACTTATGTGGTATAAAGTAAAGAAATATAGTAAATGGAACGTTGTCTTTAGTATACCACCTTGTGTTGCCCCACTTTATTGCATTTTGCCCCTGTTTCAATCAATATATCGATGCTTTAAAAATCATTTGATACTATACACGAAATATGTGAAATAAGATAAAGAAAATAAAGTAAAAATTGTCTTCAGAATGCCACCTTGTGTAACCCCATTTTAGTGCCCTTTGTCCGTTTATATCACTATAAAAGCTGTTTTCTAAATGAGGGAAGTCTGCTCTTTCAAACGTTACAATCATTATATGTGGGAAAGTACCGGACAACAAACTCCTTTTCTAGAGCCCCTCTGAAAATCAGATCATTGACTAATCATAGAAAACCAGCTATACAGGGTATTCCAAAAGTAACAGGACTGGTGCTGGCATTTTGTTAAATATGCACCAATCGTCTTCAAAATTTTACATAATGTACTTTCATGTATCGTTACTAAGACAGCAAAGTTTCGACAAAATATATGAAACTCGGGTAGAGTTATGGTTGCTATAGTAACATGACATCACAATACCCGGGGCAACATTCCACGCAAAAAAGTTACAGAGACATTAAGCATTTTGTACATGCCATATCATTTTGTACATGCCATATCAAAGTTGAAATGCAACAATTTGCGGGAATTACATTTGTTTTACATCATTTGATATTCTTATGTATCCTCTTCTTTGAAAAATAGGCTCCTCTTTGGTGAGTTCAAGAGTAGTACTCTGTATCCATGACCCAAATACATGAGTGAACCCATTTGAGGACATGTCATGCAGGGCCGATTCGACAATTTGGAGACGGTCATTCTCATCTTTAAAGGTCTTACAGCACTGATTAGCATTCCATTCTCAATATAAGTAAAAATTAGATATTGCATGATCAGAGGAGTATGGTGCATGGTTTTAGACCTCAAGACCTAGCTTCTCTATAGTTGAATGGTCTTAAATGGTGACCTTTGGGCAGGCGCGCTATCAAGGTAGATGACTGGCTTCAAATTGAGTCTTTTCAAAAACTCAACCGTGAATTGTTCAGACTGTTATACATAGTGATATTCCAGGAAATTGAATAAATATTATTATCATTATGAAATTATACTTAAATCTGAGTTGTATAGCAACACCTTTACAACAAAGGAACTAATAATATAAACAAGAAATGTTGTATTATAATAGGTGAATTAGATACTTTCTTCAGTAATATAAAAATGTTAGATATCACATTTTCACGGAAAAGTTGCCCCGGGTATTGTGATGTCATGTTTCTATAGTAACCATAACTCTAACCGCATTTCATCTTTTTTTCTGAAACTTTAGAATTATAGTTGCAATACTTCAAAGTACAATTTGTGAAAATTTGAAGATACTCAGTGCAAAATTGACAAAATGCCAGCACCAGTCCTGTTACTTTTGGAACACCCTGTATAACTATCAATGGCATATTACACGCTGCGGTGTGGTCTAAGTAAAGGACTAATTAAACAGTAATATAAACCCAACCATTATCTATGTGAGAAAACTACATGCATCTGTATAGGGCGATTTCTTATTTGCAGGTTGGCGTTTCGATTTTATGTGCCAGCTTAATGTCTCTATTGAATTCCACTGTACTGTTTCTCAATCATCCACTAGTCACTTAAAATGGTTTAACGAACAAACACAGAAACATATATATAGTACTAACAAAACTTTCAAAAGGCCTTGGTTAAAATGTCCTGTTTAAGAACTCCTATTAATATTTTTACTATTGAAAATGGATTCTAGCAATGCTCTTCAACAAGAATCTACTTGTTGAGACTCGATCAACTTGAGTTCTTCTGAGAAAATGAGGATTTCAGCAAGGAAAGAACATTTTTAAGATAGCCGCTGAAATTCAAAATGGTTTCCATTTTTCGTAAAAAAACGTAATCTTAGATTACTAAAATACCAGTGAACTGATTTGATCCAAATTTCATTTGCTGATGCTTAGGGCCACAGTAGCCCTGTTCGGGAAAGAATTTTTAAGATGCAAGCTGAACATCAAAATGGCCGCCATTTTTAGTAAAATACCGTAACCCTTGCTCAAATGCCAATTCACGGATTTGGTTCAAGTTTTATATATATTCATTCCAAGGGACAATGTAACTCTGCTGGAGAAGACGTTTTCAAGATGGCCTCTGAATTTTAAAATGGCCGCCAAATACCAGTGGACAGATATGGTTCAAATTTTATGTAGATGCCTGGGACAAACAAGGTCTGCTCAAGAAGGAATTTTCAAGATGGCCACTGAATTTCAAAATGGCTGCCACTTTTGGTTAAAAACGTAATCGTTGATAACACAATATCAGTGGGTGGATTTGGTACAAATTTTATATGCTGATGCCTAGGGACAAAAGAATTCTACTCGAGAGGAAATTTTAAGGAACTCTGCTCAAGACGAAATTTTCAAGATGGCAGCTTAATTTGAAAACGGCAGAAATTTTCAAGATCTCCACTTATTATCAAAATATGTTTTGTTCGGTGGGATTCGCTACTCCGTGGAGTTGCTGTTTTTCTAGTATAAATAAGATATTATGTTGGCTTTTGGTATGGGGACGTGTCTAATTAAGGAATAAGTCTAGATAAATGCATTTGTATTAATTTTCATCACTTCGAAATTCAGTATGCGATGTGTAAACAGACAAAATTATGTAAATGATATATATAAACTGAAAAGTGAATTACATGTCAATGTAAAAATGATAATAAATAGTGATATCCATATAGATTATAAGTTGTTGGTATAAGTACTTCAAATTACACAATATGCGAATTCTTTTCCAGTTTTTATAATTCCATATACGAACCAACAATATGGCATATTGGAAGATCGACAATATCACCGTTATCTGGCTCTTTGTACATCGATTTCTTGATAAAGTGCCTGTAATTAGTTTTCAGCATCACGTTTAGTCAGTGGTCAATTAACTGACATTTTTACGTATGAAAATTGACTTCTAAACATTGTACATTATGTACATTGTATTTTTATATGTAAATAATGCCCCTCGTGATATCAAAGCAGCTCATTGTATGATAGGATCAAATGTAAATATCTTAAGTAGTATTTTTTCATTTAATGTAACATTAACTAGGAATTTTTCACAAAGGCTCGGTCAATTTATGATTCCATAAGGGATGTGGATGCCATCCATATTGTTTAATTGCTTTTCACTATATACACTGTTTGTTGTTATTTCAACTCATTTGTTGGCATTTACAACTCAATGTTACATGTATACTGATAACGATATAAAATGTCTGTGATCAGTTTTTGGCATTTATTTTAGTATGTGGTAAAGCTGATGTGCTTTACTCCATTACTTTAGCTTTGTTTTATGAGAACGTAATTCGATTATTGCTTTGTTAAAAAATAAATAAAATGCTCTTTTAAAACTAGTAGATGTTTATTAAATGTGTGTAAGCCTTAAACCAATGATATCCTAGATGAAACAAACAAATCATCTGATGCAAATCATCTGATGGTGCAGAATTTTGCCATTGTGCCAGGGTACGTTGTGCCTGTATTTTATCAGATGATTTGTTTATTTTTCGGTTAGAAAAAAGGTTCAAACTACATGTAGAAAGTGAGTATGGTAAGAAGTGGTCCCGTATTGTATTATGGATACCATTTTGGGCTCGGCGTTCGAAATTGGTTTTGGCGATTTCCCCTTTTTGGCGACAACTTTTAATATTTTGTAATTTCAACCAAGTGGTGCCATTTTGTCAAGTTAACACAGTGCTTATATCTTTTTTGTGTCCAAATATATTTTACGGATGTAGCTATTGAAGAGATATAAATCGACTTCTTTCACTCAAAGTTACTGAGCATCAAGTGTTGGCACTTCAATTCTGTTGATGAAATTATACATATTTCAGTCAAATTCATTCTAAGCACAACATGTTGGTTTCAATTATATAATCTCTTTGCATGATCCTGGTAATGAAGAGTCAGAATCAAAAAATCGAAACCAAAAAGACTGTGCTCATTGTAAAAATTAAAAGCGAAGCTACTTTTTTCTGATATTTTTTGCATCAAATGGCAGCCATCTTGTTTCCCCCCTTCAAATTAAACTAGTGGGAAATTCAAAATTAGTTCCTAAAATATATTTAAAAATATGATTTTCCTTTTAATTCTTCATGGGTCTTTAAGTTATTTTTACTTTATATGCCATACATGTTGCCATTGGTGTTTTTTCTATGATAATGATTATTTGTTTTCTGTTAGGATTCTTATTTTGACTCTCAGCAGGGGATTGCTTATGCATCAAAACTCATGAAAAAGTAAATATACTTCAAATATAACTAGGACAGTTATAAAAATCATATATCCCCCACAAAATCTTCATGCATTTTGTTATATGACGTGACGTCTTTATCACCAGGCGGGGACCAGTGAAAAAGGACTGAGTGGACATGTAATGCAAGCAATTCCCAAATAAATTGGTTTCATTTTGGACTACCGTATTTACTAGCATTACCTTGTTATAAATGATTAGTAATGTACCATGCAGTACAAACCTACTTGAATAAATACGTGCTTACATTTTATTAAATCACAGACTTTAGGTCCGTGTCTTTATATAATCGCATAAAGTAAATAAAAGCCATGAAGGTCAGCGTGATTTTTTCAAAAAGTGATACACATAATCAATGGAACGTCTGTGAAGGAATCGTGGAAATTCGCATTTTTAGATAAAGTTTCCTAGTGTTGCATTTTAAGATAATTAATGAACCCAGCCCAATACAATGTAACACAATACGACATGATTCAATACAGCACAATAAAGTAAAACAACACAATCGATTCAGCACATTACAATACAATACAATCACAATACAATACAAAGCAATGCACTATGATACAATGAAGTACAACACAATTCAACAAAACAGAATTCAATTTAATTCATGTTCATGTATATACAACTTAATATGTTCTACACCTAGTCGAGTCAACTCATTAAGGATAAGCGTTTTTTATTTGTGTTGTTGTTTTTCAAAATTGTGTAGAAGTCATTCCTTCAAATTAAGTAGATGAGCAGTAAGTAAACAAACTAAATCTATTTAACATATACAGTATGAGATCATGTTGCCCCTTTTCGCAAAACATAGATAAATACTTACAGTATCACTTTTAAGTGTAATTTATGTTATTTTAATGATAATACAGGCAACCTTTTTTCAAAACACGATGAAACCATTAACATTAATGTATGCCATGCACCAATCAATCGACTTAAATTGTGGATTTGATCACCTGATATATAATGTGTCCTATTGCGTTATTAAACTGCAAGTGTCGTACACTTTAAAAGACGTCAACGTGTTAAACTTGAGTTCAACAATAGAGGCATCACAGGTTGCATAACATTCCACAAATCAATTGGATTTGATCAATTCGTAAGTATATTCTACATCCAAACATTCAACTCCTTTGAAACTTGATTCCTTGAAAGTTGTACAAACAAGAAAGATGACATGTTAGTTTTAAAACTATAGTGTAAAATAATGATAACTCTTATTTTAGATTTGGCATTTAGAAATTCAGTTAAACTGATTACGCTCTTCGGTTTTATTTCAAGTTGACCGTTCTTTTCACTCTCCTTGCTAGCTAGAATATGCATCCTCATCAAACTTATTTAGTATACTCTAATTATCTCTATATTTATACAATTATTTGTTATTTGTAGAGAACGCTGTTGATCAACGTAATTCACTATTTATTTCTGTAAAACTTCTACAAGTTCAAAACAATAAAGAACACTCATATATAAAACTGAATCCAAGTTATTTTTCAGACAATAGTTCAAAATGATGAAACAATATGTCATTCTTCTCTCGGTGGTTCTAAACATCCTAGTGACCGTACACAACGTACAAGGCGATGCTTGTATCCAGGGATCGATATGTCCATTGGGATTTATTTACAATCCTAACTTGGGGTCCTGCTATAATTTCGTCATATCCGAAAAGATCACGTGGTACGATGCTCTCTCCGTTTGTGGAGCAATGGACGCTAACCTTGCCGCTACAGAAACACAGGAAGAACTCGATTTCATTCGAAATGAGATCAAAGGACGAATTACTGCAGTCGGTGGTGAAACGGGGAACTCATTCCACCTTGGTGGCGTCTTTTTGAATGGTGGTTGGCAGTGGATAGGCGGCCCATCATGGAGGACAAAGCCCATGTCATTCGCACCATGGAGGCCTAATCAGCCAAATTTCCTTGACGTCCAGAAGTGCGTAGCGCTCTCTGCAAGTGATGATTATCTATTTCATAATTGGGAATGCCGTCATAAATTTCACTACATTTGTGAAATTAAAATGAACTAAAATGAACGTGATGGACAAAATGGTTTCTCTCTTCGTTACTTAAAAAGGACATTACCCTGTGCCGGAATTCATCTAAATACATCAAAAAATGAAATATTGGAATTGTTCTTATATGTGCATAGCTATTCTTACATATAGGTTTATTATATTTCCACGATTGGTTATTACAAATAAATGCAAATTATTCATAATAGTTGTGTTTTCTTTTCCAATAGTGTATTTCTAAAGAGATTAGTGTGTCGAGCTGGAAGAAGACAACGTTTAGCAATATATACCAAGAATTATAGAATGTTTTACCAATAGAAGTTGAAAGGAAACTAGAATGAATAGACGCCATCCATAAAAAGTGGTCTAAAATTCGAAACCAATGAACAAGGTGTGACATTTAAACTATGCAAAGATGAGAGAAATCGTGCACAATCTTTATTTTTACACAAAATTACAACAACAAGGTGATATTTCAGTAGTACTATCTTAGAAATGGCAGTTTTATGTAATAAATGTCTTTAGTTTGACACTGATGATTAGATTAAACACATGGTATATAATATAGGGTGAGCTAAAATATGGCCTCTTCGATTTTGTTCGAAATGATAAAATGATCACGTATTTTAAGAATCCTTAATGAATCAAATCACCTCACAGTTTCATATAAGTAACCACTTTGTTACATATTTTTCGAAATTTGCGAATACATCCTTGCTAATGTAGCTGCGTATTTTTATGCGTATTGAAATAGTAACATATCATTGTTTGGAAATTGAATTGTCGTAATGTCTTTCTAACGGTATATAATATCAGAGTAATTCTACAAGTACTTCGAATTCTTAGTATTTCCTTAAATGTGTTAGCTTTATTGGCCCAACCTGGAGGATTAATATTTACCTTGACACTTGCATATGCAATCTCTTTCGACATTCCTCGTGTACTAATAGATATAATGTCAATTAAAGGAGTGTATTCGTTTTTTATTACTTGCTATTTAATTACCTTTTGTACACAATATACACTGACATGACCTATGTCCTCATCTTTCAGATATTAGATAATATATGACTTAAGAATAGCCTCGATTATTGTAAGTTTGACATAACCTTAATTAAGGATTTTCACTTAGCACCGTGTGGATGCGCTATACATCGTACAACTTTCTTGTAACATTGAATGGTGATAATTGGAGGGGGACGGCTGAGATTTGTACGTTCATGTTCAGTAAGTATTGGAAATAACGTATACTCTGCCATATTTCTGCTACCCTTGCCAGAATTTAACGATATTTGAACAGTAAAAAAATATGTTCACAAGCCAGATTCAATGGTCATACTTTTGTTATTTGTTTTCATAATTTTAAAGGTCATTTGAAAGATTTTCCAACAGATCTTCATCTTCGTCGAAATTTTGTTTCCAAGAATCAATGAGTGAAAACGAGTATTTTCGGCGAGTACATCCAGACAGCCGCCATTTTTTTGTTCGAAAAACGGGAAGATGTAGTTTTATTTGGTCGACAATTACTGCACTTTTTAGTTCTTCACCTGTTAGTATGCTCATGCTGTTTCAGGAGCCCCTTTCTCGAAAACATCGTCAATTACGATTCGTGAATTCAATTGTCTTCTACGATTTTTCCGTTTCTCGAAACTTGACGATTATCGTCAATCTACGATTTTATCGTGGATGGAGGCGATATTGACGACACCTCTAGGGTACTCGTCAACCATCCCCGATTGTTTTCCTGTGATCTGATTGGTCTATAAAACACTGCACGAAACGTGTCTGGGGATAGTAATGAAATTATTGCCGGGGAAACCAGATGGGAAAGCATAGCATATAAATAAATAGTCAGGCCTTGTACCTATATTGAAGCAACTGAGGCGAAAGTATTCGAGTTAAATTTTCTTGTTATTTTAATATTCAAACTTAGGTTTCTATTGTGCATTATATTTTGGAAGAAAATAGTATTCCGGGTATTGTTGAGTGATGTTTGTTAATGTACAATTATGTACGGTTATTTGTTAGAAGGTTAAGCCAAAGTTCTGGTCTTCATATAAAATATGAATTTCATTAAATTCAAATCTTATCACGAATAACCACGATTATATCCTGGCCGTTTTCACGCCCGGCGATCGGACAGAATGAACGGTAATTTCTGCAAGAAAATTCAACAAATCAACAAAGTTGCGTATTTGAAAAAAATGATTAATTCATCCACCTTCCGTTCAATTTTAATATTTTTTCAATTATTTTTTTAACATAAAGTATTGTGACTTATTTTAAAAAGCCAACAAATGACATTAGTTTTGTGATAATAACGTCCCTTATAATATTCATTACATGTCGTGTAGACCAGTGTTGCCTGATTTAAATTGACTTTTACACGTTGGTGACGATAGGCCTTTTTCAATAGATCTCATATCTTCGAACAAAAACAAGGCATTAACATGACAAAATGTCATCACTTTGTTGCTCACAATATTATTGTGAAATTTGAGTTTGAAAAAATTGTCAATTTGAAGCAAGTTGAAAAAAGACATTTCAAGACCGTCAATACCAAGGGTGATTTAATTCATCGATATTTTTACTTAGAATTAAATTTCCCCCGTAGTTTTGGTTTGAAATTACTTTTTGCAAAAAATCTTGCAATATGTTACAATTTTACTTATTTTCATTTTTTTCTCATTTCCATGATAATTATACGAGAATAAGATGCATAATGCACAACAAAATGATTGAGAGAGAGAATCTGGCTTTTAAAACTGGCTTCTTGGTAACTGCAGAAGCCGGCTTCTGTAAGTCATTCGAAGCCGGTTTTTAAAGCCGGCTTCTTGGTGACGCCAGAAGCCGGCTTCTGATGTACTGTAGAAGCCGGCTTTAAAAGCCGGCTTTGTATATTTGCCTTCGACTCTTTCTCACATAACTGCATGCACAGATTAGGCCATTCAAAATTAATTATATGTTGGCATTCTGATGAAGGGCCTTATATTAAAAACTACAAAACCTTTATTTACTTAAAGGGTTTTATATATTATTTAATAGTGAAAATGCAACAACACATTGTGGCAAAGCAAGTAACACCTCTTGATTCAGATTACCTTGTTAATGAAGACAATACTAAAGCTTATATACATGTAGTTTTTTATCAATCTTGGAACTCATTTCAATACAATATAATTCAAGATCACAATTCCCTCTGTCATTTATATGCAAGTACAGATTACATGGTAAAATTTTGTTTTTTTCTGAAAACATAGAATTTTGTGACATTAATTATAAAAAATCTTGTGTTTTTCTAAATAGGGTATAAGTAGAAATTATTTTAGGCAATCCTTTGAGTGCCATGCCATTTATACATGATCCTCAGCAAGAGGGGGAGAAACCCCAGGGTTCAAAGATGACATACGCTTATAATGTAAATCTGTATTGAGATGACATCGTCGCTGATTGGTTTAGCGAGTCGATCGTTGATTGATTTAAAGCTAGGTCAATTTGAAAACTTTGAAAACCAAGATGGAGGGAAGTATAAATATACGTACTTCCGGGAAAGAAGGTGCACGAAGGAGGAAATCGTATGTCATCAATTGAATCATGGGGTTTTCCCTCCTCTTATCCTCAGCCTTATATTTTATGATATATATTGAAATTGAACTATGGACAACATGTTTAGAAATTGATGAGAAGCAATCAAAATAAGAAAATATATTCTCATTAAAGTGCCCTTGTGAGCATTTAATTGCAGCCATTTTGTCCTAATTGCCCATGGCATTTAAAATAATAATCACATCCCAACTCTTAAAACATGCTTATATTAGGATACTGTTGGAGTCTCAAAAGGCAACAAGAACATTCATTTTTGAAACAGGAAAATTTAGTCCCCCCAAAAATGCCCATATGGGGATTTATTCTCAAGATTTTCATGTAATTGCCCATGAGAATTTATTAAAAATATTTTTATTTCCATTAACATGGCTTATTATCAGTCACAATCAAAATTAAACCAATTGCTTTCATTTCTTGTATTTGAAAACGGCACAATTTTGACAAAAATAGCATTTCTCAACGTTGACCTTTAAACCACCCTAATGTCAAGGTCAAATGTCAAAATTCTCAGAAATCACATTTTAAGTAATGAGTCATACTTCCTCTTCAATTCCATGTCAATATATACTTGTTTTGTAGGGGGGCTAAAAGAGGGGTTTACCGCCACCTGTCCTTTAAATGTATTGAGTTTAAAAGCAATTTTTGATTTAGAGAAAGAGGCCTATTTTGTTTTGTAAATATGTATATAATTGTTTGTGATTAATAAACTGTTTAATAAAAAAATTTTTTTTAATCTGTATTGTCGAGATCTAAAAGATCGGCTTTCCATGGTGATTTTATATCAAGAAAAACATTCGAACATTTTAACCACATTAGAAAGGTATTACCATAAAAAATACGTTGTCCCAGAGAACCTGATGATTCTTGAAATCTGTGATATATCAATTTTTTTGTTTTCCTTCAAACTTCCACAGTTTGTTGTTGGTTGATTATGTATTACACCTGAGAAACAGGAACTCCAGTGCATGGCCAATAAAAAAGTTAGGGGACATTAATATGTTGCCCAAAAGTGGGCGTGGCACTTCACCTGAAGAGCATAAAATAGGCGACACAATTTTTTCATATTTTTGCCGTAGTGTTGAATTTACACCTTCCTACGCCCCTGGGATATTTTCAAAAAATAAGCCTTGGTACTGGCACAATCGATAACCAATTTTATAAACAAGTTTCATTTGCCATTGGAATTGACTACAGAATGATTGCTGCTGTTTTCCGATTATTCTATACACGTTTGGATGGACAGCTTAAATAAATTACCGTAGTTTACTTTAGAAATGATGATATTGAACTGAAATAAACGCCATTTCCACGATTCAAATTGAACTTTACGAAAGCGCAGCTCTGGAAAAAGATATGCTCATTTTTGTTCATGTGATCATATCCTG